TTTGGTATGCATTCATTATTTAGTTTCAATCAAAAAAATTCAGCCGAAATGTTTTTTTAAAACATTTTCTTTAATATGAACACAATTTGTCTCGGCAGTTGGGGATCCGTTTAAAGAAAAACTTTCAAATTGCTAATTTTTGCCAGGTAAAAAACTTTGTTATGGATCAACTGTAGTTGAAGTCTTTATTTTTTAGCATTTATTGATCAACTAATTGGCATAAATCAGAAAGCGATGACTGATGCATATTTAATCTATAAACTGTATTAAATTATATAACAAAAATACACCATGGTACAAAAATGTGTATTGTCTTTAATACAAGATTAACTTTGGAATACTGTTTATTTATGATCAATTTTATGATTGATAAATATACTGTAAAGCTATTTTTGAAAAATTGAACATGCAAAATACTTTACTGTGTAATTAAATAAAACACTATTATAACATAATATAGCACACAACTCCAAAAGAGTAAATGTTTATATTGAAATACAAAGAATGTAAAGTCTTATAATTACTCACTTTAATTTTATTAAATTTTTGTGTTATTTTAAACTCATATTGTAGAGCATCACTTGAGTCTATATAGGTATTAAGTCTATGATAGTCTTACTAAAGACAGTCTTGTTGCAAAATTAGACTGTTAAGAATAAAGTTTACATTTAATTTTTAAAATGTTTTAGTGAACAGATCAAAAATATTTTTATATATTATAGTTTTTATATTTATAAGTAGTTGGTTTGTAAATTTTTACTGAATGTTTATTTATTTATTAAATTACCTCCTCAGGGCCAAGAAAGCCACTATAGAGGAGGAGGCTACTTAGTTGTGGTTATAAACCCTCTCTCAACTCTATAACTCCGAAACATGAACTATGATGAACAAGGTCGCTGAACCAAGAAACAAGTTGAGCGTGGTACTACCAGGGACATATTGGGAATCGAACTCGGAACCTCTCGCTTATGAAGCAAGCTCTCTACCACTACACCACTACCACATATTATTGCCTGGATTACACACAATAAATTATTGAGCAAAATTATGCTCAATGATTTGTTGTATCATGTAATCATATCAATGATTTATTGCATCATGTAATCATATCAATGATTTATTGTATCATGTAATCATATCAATGATTTATTGCATCATGTAATCATATCAATGATTTATTGTATCATGTAATCATATCAATGATTTATTGTATCATGTAATCATATCAATGATTTGTTGCATCATGTAATCATATCAATGATTTATTGTATCATGTAATCATATCAATGATTTGTTGTATCATGTAATCATATCAATGATTTATTGTATCATGTAATCATATCAATGATTTATTATGATCATAATTGTAATTACTGAATAGAAGATTTGAAGTTTTCAAATATTTGCTCTTCTAAAAAATATTTTATGAAGTTTTTTATTATTTACTAAAGATAGATTTTATTTACTAAAGATAGATTTATTTACTAAAGATAGATTTTATTTACTAAAGATAGAATTATTTACTAAAGATAGATTTACTAAAGATAGATTTTATTATTTACTAAAGATAGAAGATAAATTTATTTTATTGCTTTCTATTTTATTTACATAAAGGTTTAATTTTTATTGATCAGGTTGCTTTAATTAAATTCTAGAATAAGTTTTAATAAAAACGTAAATTGTTATGAAAAATATTAAAAACAATGAAAAACTCCTTGAAGTTGTTTTGACTTATTAAAGCAAAGCACTCGCATAACGTAATCTATATAAACCATTTAATATATTTCCTTAAAATTGTAACCAAATAAAAAAAAAGATTAGAAACAAGAAATTTATGGTATTTGTGATTTGTTTAAAGGCAATATAAATTACTTTAATAAAAAACGAATTATTCTCATTTATAACTAGACCAATTACATTTGAAAATGTGGCTTTTGTAAACAGCTTTTGCTATAAATGAGGTTCTCTTATTATTTTTACTTGTTTCCAATTGAATTAAAGTCACATTCTTAAACATTAGATAATCTTGTTTTAGGTAATATTTGGTCCTTTCTACATATAAAAAGTTTGGTTCTGGTTTTACTATTTGCTAATTTTTTTTTAGAAAAACAGTTGGAAAACACTTATTTGGTGTTTGAAGTTTTTTTATTTTTTGCATTTTGTTTATCATTTTATTATCAGTTTTCTTTATTTTATTTTTTTATTAAAAAAACAAATAAACGTATATACATTTTTAGTTTTTATTAGGTGTACATATGTTTCATTTATTTTAAATACTTTTTAGTTACCTAAATTCTTAAGTTTAAAACTTATATTCATTATATTCAATCAACTATAAATATTATTATTAAAGTATGATTAAGCAAACAGTGCAACTACTCAAAATTCAAAAGTTATTGCTGATATCTTAAGCAAAAATAAAAATAAAATTTGGGAAAGAAGATGATGGTCTGTCTTTTTTTGATTTAAAAACTGTTGAAAATTCATTATGAAAAATAAAGATTTTACATATGAAGATATCCTTCTGAGATAAAAAAACTTCAAAGAAAACAAATCAAGTGGATTTTTTTTACGTTGATTTTTTTTTTTTTTTTGATTTCAAATTTACATTCAGCTATTTTAAAGAGTTGAGCATCAGCCATTTCACTTACAAATATTTTCAGAGTTGTTTGAAACCAACAAATTTTTTTTTTTTTTTTTTCTTTTTTTTCTCTGTTTACATAACATAAGAATTTTACAGATTCTACTACATAATATAAAATTTAACAAAATAAGTAAAACAGATAGGGACTCAAAGAAGATGAGGATGACAGAACGTCATCGCAATCTTTTCATAGAACCCCTTTAACAAGATTTAATTAAAATATTGTAATATGACATACAAAATAAAAATGTCAATAAAATATCATAACAAAATGCGTAATCCGCTAATAAAAATCGTCAAGCAACAAACAAAAGTAGAAACAAAACAAAAACTTATATAAGAGAATTTATCCAAAGCATTATTAACAAAAAATGTTTCACCGGTTTTAAAGATTTCTTTTTTTGTTAAAAACTTGAATGAACTTAATGAACTCACCGTACCTTTGAACTCTTTCTGAAAAATATTCCATACCTTTGGACCTCTATATAAAATGCTGTATTTTGAATATTTATTTATTATCCTTGGCAGTTTATATGTGTTCAACATATTCGCTCTAAGATTATAGTTATCATTTTTATTTAATTCAAACTTATTATTAAAGCTTATAGGAGAGATATTGTGATTGTAACGATACATGAAAATTAAATGCTGGTAGATATTTATTTCAAATACATTCATCATTTTCATATCTTTCATCAAGGGATTAGCGTGTTCCCGCCTATTTTTAAAGTAAATGATTCTACAGGCATGTTTCTGAAAACTATAAAGTTTCTTAAGCTTTGCTGTTTGAGTACTTGCCCATGAAATGTTTGCATAGCTGATGAGGCTGTGAATTAGCCCAAAGTAGATTAATTTAAGACTATTTTATTAATGTACGAGCGAACTCGATACATTAAACCTATGATTTTGGTAATTTTTGACTGGATATATATTATATGAGGAAGCCAGGATAATTTTTCATCAACAACGATTCCCAAGAATCTTATATTGGATTGCTTTTTAATTAATTTATCACTTATAAATAGGTTCGGCAACTTGAGAGGAAGATTTTTTTCTTGTGTTTTTTTATGAAAAAGTATTTAGTTTGTTTTCTTGGTATTAAGTGAGAGTTTGTTAGCCTTAAACCAGTTATTTACTTTATTTAGTTCAATATTTATGTCCGCATATAATTTCTTGATATCGTTGTTGGTAAGAAATAAATTCGTGTCATCTGCAAACATGACTGAATTAAGTTATAAGGATGTATTACAGAAGTCATTTATATATATTAAAAAAAGAAGTGGACCAAGAATCGATCCTTGCAGAACTCCACATACGACATTTAATACTCCAGATTGGGCATTATTTACATATTGTTTTCTGTTTGTAAGATAGCTTTTAATCCAATAATAAGTTTTATTAACTATTCCGTAATGTCTTAATTTATCTAAGAGAATACAGTGGTCCACTGTATCAAATGCTTTTGATAAATCAAGAAAAATTGTTAGTGCAATTTAGATCAGCCAATATCACTTCTCTGTACAAAAAAGTTCCTGATCTTGGAGTATTTTTTAAACAATCTGAAATGGAAAAATCATGTAATAAAATGCGCGGGCAAAGGCAACTAAATGTTGGATCGGATTATAAAATGCTTTATTTGTTTCGATATTAGACTCCTGAAATTATTTTGTTTCTTTTGTGCAAGCATGGTTAGTGTTTGCAATACCTGTTTGGTCACCATTTGGAAAGAGTTAATCAACTCAATTAATAACTCAAGAAAATCAACTTTCTTTTCAGAATTGTCAGAAAAAAGCTCTCGACTACCTTGATAAAGAGGAGGCAAGAAGAAGACAAAGAGGTTCAACTTTTTAAATTCTTTAACAATTTCAACAATTTCGAAACAATCAAAAAATTGGTTTTTTCAACAAACAATAGTTTCTCGTTTGAGTTTGTTGGAAACAAGTTAATTACTGTCAGAGTCTTCACTAAGCAAGCGTGTTGTGAAAAAGTTTTATTTAGTAGATCAACCAATTTATGGAATGGCTTGTCAAGTGAATTGGTTAACCCACAATCAGTTAACAGTTAAAGCCAATGAGCAGCAATTAAGCAAATTGGCTGTCATAGTGTGTTAATACCACACTCACTGGCTCACACCAGTTAAAGCAATTACTAATACTTATACTAATTTGAATCTCATTTTTAGTTATTATGTTTACTGATTTGAATCTTATATTTAATTGTTATGATTAATGATTTAAACTGATTGAAAAATATTATTTGTCATACATAAAGTTATAAATATAATGTTTGTTAATTTTGTTTGTTTTTTTAAACAAAAACTGTTTGATGGGTTGTAAAGAAACCAATTTTTTTTTAGGGAAACAAAAATCTTGTTAGTGTAATTTCTCACCAATCAGATAAGGTTGTTTTTTTTTTTTCACCAATCAGATAAGGCTGTTTTTTTTTTTAACTTTTCTATAACTAGATAAGTTATAACTCAAATTTATTTTTGATGCATGTTTTAATTTTTAACTTTTTTTTTCTTTTTTGTTTAGTTAATGCAATTCAAATTGATAAATTCAGATCCGGATATGGAGGTTTTTTCTCAGCTGTTTTGTACACCTGATGAAGATGAAGGAGACAATTCTAAAGTATTATGTTAAAAATTGTTTTTTTAGATTTTACTGTATAAAAAATTACATTTTTTAATTAAAATTAAAAAGTGATCTTTTATAAAAAATTTTGATAATATTTTTAAATGCTTTTTTAATAGTTTATGTCTAAAAGTTAAAAGTTTAATTTAAACATAAAAACAAAGTTTAGCTTAATATACTGTGAACGCATGATGCTCTTATAAAAAACTTGAAGCTTATGTTATCAAAGACAATCTTTTAAAATGGTGTAGTTTATTTATTAAAGGAAGGAAACAAAGAGTAGTGATGGATAATTACTGTTCTGACTGAGAATGTAGTTAACAAAAGTCCTCAAGGTTCTTGTTTAGGACTTCTATTCTTTGTTATATTTATTTATGAAATCCAAGTTTTAAATGACAAATTTTATTAAGCTTTTTGCAAACTATTCAACAAACAACTTGAAATGTGAAATCCAATGCCAAAAAGTTGCATCAAAAGCTAATTCAATTCTCGGAATGCTTAAACAAACTTTCAATTTTTAAATCATTCAAGATTTAGTACACATCTTTTGTAAGACCTCATCTTGAGACATTTTCTTCTGCGTGGAATTCTTAAAGAAAAAAAGACATAAAATTTTGAAAGAGTTCATGAGCTACTAGTTCCTGCTTTGTGTAAACTTGAATCAAGACTCAATTATCCTTGTTTAACTACTCTTAAAGATAGAAGAATCAGAGGAATGTGAATTGATTATTTTAAAATCTCAAACAGCTTTATAAATGTAAATTCCTAGAGATTAGTGGGTGCTGTTCCTAGACTTTTTTTCATTCCCAGGATCCGGGATTGAAAGATTGAAAATTTGAAAGATCTTAGGATTTCCTGGGAATCGTGAAATTTTTTTAATGTCAAAAATCACATTTTTAAGAATTTTTTTCTGAAAAGAAAATTATAATAAAAAAAAAGCATTGTTTTATAAATTTAGAAAGTTTTATTTCAAGTTTTCAAAATAAGTTTTCAAAAAACACAAGACATCAAGTTTTATTTCAAGTTTTCAAAACAAGTTTTCAAAAAACACAAGACATCAAGTTTTATTTAATGCTTTTAAAATAAGTTTTCAAAAAACACAAGACATCAAGTTTTATTTCAAGCTTTTAAAATAAGTTTTCAAAAAACACAAGACATTAATTGAATGGTCTGATAGACCCACTCTTTTCTTTGTTACAATGTTACTTGCAGTAGAAAAAAAACATTCAGATTCTGTCAATGTGGGTTTTATTGTCATTATGAAATCATAAATTTTTTTTAAAGTATTAGTTATTGTATCTGTTGCCGCAAATAATTTCATCTCCCTTTGTACAGATGTTGTTTTATCAGGTTTTGCTACCTCTATAGTTTTTTGGGATTTTATTATTGCACTCTCTAAAGACTTTTTCAACAAATCATTTGTAGTTGATGATGAAAGTAAAATAGAATCGTTTGCGTTTGTTGTTGGTACATCAATTGTGTTGCCTAAATCTAAAGTACTACCAATAATAATTTCACGATCATCAGAAAAATATTGGATTAGTAAATTTTTTGCTAATTTAGATACTGCTAAAACTGATAATAGAGCAAAAAAGTTTCCATTACTACATTCATTTGTATTAGATTTTAAATTTTCTGGATTTTGAAGAAACATTGCAAGCAAAATCAAATCTTTTGATCGCTTTTCTAATAATCTTTTCTGTAGGGCTTCTAAGACATTTTTTGATAAGGTACCAGGTAAATCACTAATGGAATTAAAGAGAAATTGCATGACTCCTCCAGCAGTAACAAGATTACAATCTCTTGCACTGAGTGCTTCAACTGCCATTTGCACCAGTTTTAGGATATTTAATAATTCCTGCACCATATTAATCTCATTTTTATTCAAATTTGTCTAGGAGTTTAAGTCTATTAGAGCTTTTTTAATACAGGATTTCAACAAAAGATAATGCTCTATCATTGGAACAATACTGTTCCACCTAGTTGGAGAATCCAACATAACATTCAGTTTTTTTCCATGGTCCATTTTAACATATTTTTGAAGAAGACAGTTTTTTACCGCTGATTTCTTGAAAAACTTCACAATTTTGCAAATGTTGTTCAAAACTATTTTAAAATCTTCTTGTTCTTCTAAAATGTATTCATTTCCAAGTCTTCATCAGTATCCCCTTCCATTGTACATCATCATCCTCATTTCCAAGTTCTTCATCAACATCCCCTTCCACTTGTACATCATCCATCTTTCTACTTGTACATCATCCTCATTTTCAAGTTCTTCATCAACATCCCCTTCCACTTGTACATCATCCATCTTTCTACTTATACATCATCATCCTCATTTCCAAGTTCTTCATCAACACCCCCTTCTACTTGTACATCATCCATCTTTCTACTTGTACATCATCATCCTCATTTCCAAGTTCTTCATCAACATCCCCTTCCACTTGTACATCATCCATCTTTCTACTTATACATCATCATCCTCATTTCCAAGTTCTTCATCAACATCCCCTTCCACTTGTACATCATCCATCTTTCTACTTGTACATCATCATCCTCATTTCCAAGTTCTTCATCAACATCCTCTTCCACTTGTACATCATCCATCTTTCTACTTGTTCATCATCATCCTCGTTTTCTGAATCTAAATCTTGATCAGATTCTTCAGCAGAAGAAAACTCAAAATAATCATCATTTAAATAGCTTCTAGATTTTAAATTTTTTCTATAAATAATGTTGGTTATTGCAAGCTGAATACCATGATTAAAACATAATTGGTGAAACATAAATGATGACTCTCTCCCAAATTTTTTCATAACAGATGCTCCATCGGTTGTTATTGCCAAAACATCACTTAAATTAATTTTAAAACTGGAAATTTTTTTTCGAAGTAGATTTCTTAAAACTTCAGCTGAACAATTAGCATAAATTCTTATAAAACCCAGATTATCATAGCTTCCATCCAAATAATGCACATTTACGTTTAAATATTGTCGGTTTTTAAAGCTTGTCGATTCATCAAGTTAATGATAAGTTCTCTTTTGTGTACAAATTTATTTATGGTTTCCAGTTTTACTAATTCGTAATAATCATGTACTAAATAAGGTTTTTAATAAATAAAAATAAGGTTTTGCTCTGCAACTGAAAACTTTTCCTTATGAACAAATTTTTGCAAATTCAAGAAATTGAAAATCCATCCACCAAATGATCTCAAAGGTAGACCAATTATTGCTGGAATTAACTCACCAACATCGCATTTAAGCCAGTTCTTACATATAATTTTGTCTCCAATTGTAACAAAACAAAAAACTTTCATTAAAGATGATTGGGATTTCTTAAGAAAGATACCAAGAGCGTTAAATTCGGATAGTTGTATTTTCACTTGTGACATTGTTAATCTATATACTAGTATTCCACACAATCTAGGTATATAAGCATTAAAGTACTGGATTGAAAAACAAAAGTTTAATAGATAAAAGATTTACTCCTGAATTTATCATTGAATCAACATACTTTATTTTAAAAAACAACAACTTTCTATTCAACAACCAAATGTTTCGGCAAATTATTGGAACAGCCATGGGTATGATTTTCACTCCAGATTATGCATGCCTAGCAATTGGATATTTAGAAGAAACAAGACTTTTTCCTAAGATTTTACCTAAATACTTTTCCAGTAAAGATGTAAATGACATACAGGAATTTTATTGTAGATATATTGATGATGGTTTCTTAATCTGGCCAAAGCATTTAGATATCGTTAAGTTTAAAAACTCTTTGACCGAAATAGATAATTCAATCAGTTTTACAATAGACATGGGCAAAGAATTTATAATAGATGGTAATACTTATAGTATTATTAATTTCTTAGACATATCTATCATTCTTGAAAACAACAGAAAAATAAAAACGGATATTTATTATAAAGAAACCAATACTCACGACTACTTAAACTACAACAGCCATATCATATAAAAAAAAAAAATCCCTTATAGCCTTGCTAAAAGAATAATTGTTTTCACATCTGATTACAATAAAGAAAAACAACTTTTAGCAGAATTAAAAGCATGGCTAAAAGAATGGGAATATCCTAATAATATTATTGAAAAAGCATTTCACAGCGCGAAACTCCAAGGACCAGCTCCTTAAAATCAATTAAAAGAAATTTTTCCTTTAGTTACAACTTTTTACAGCAATCTGAACTGCCAACCTTTTATTACTGAAACAAATCTTAGAAGTTTTTGGACATTAAAAGTTTTTTCTAATGTCCAACCAGTAATTGCTTATAAACAACAACCCAATCTACTGAGAACACTTACTTCTTCAAAAATTCAATCAACCAGTAAAGAAGTAGGATTATTTAAATGTAATGATAATCGTTGTAAAATATGTAAATTCTACCTTCAAGAAGTTAAATCATTTACGACATCAAATGGTACTATATGGAACATAAAAAGCCATATTACTTGTAATAGTAAGAATGTAATATACTATTTAAAATGTTGTCATGTAACAAGAAAAACAAATAACCTATGACTTCGCACTAATGCGCACATTTATAGTTGTAGAACTAGGCAATCAACAGGTAGGTTTGATAACCATGTATGCAATTGTCAACGTGCTCATAACTCCATTATAGAACCTTTTTTCCAGCTTTTTGTGTTAGTGGAGCTAAAAAAATGAAAAAAACCTAATTTCTTATGAGAAGCATTTTCACAACAAAAAACATGTTACTTTTAATTGACTTTAAAATATAGATTAAAATAGTTGCTAACAGCAACATTAAATAATTATCATTTCCTGTTATTTAAAAGTTATATTTTGTTGTTATAATAACAAAAATAGCACTACTGATGATTTTTTGAAAGGCTAAAATATTAAAATTTATAATTAGAGAAATTTTTGTAAAATTAAAAGAAAATATTTCGTCTATTGTTTATTTTGTTGACTAATTTTTTTACTATATATGTATATATATATATATATATATATATATA